CCTTCCTTCCTGTCATGTGATGTGAGCAACCACTATCAATGTACCATTCGTTGTCGAACTGCTCGTCACGTATAACCTGCAAAAATTAACCAGATTTAGGAACCCAAAGTTGCTTGGGTCCTTGTGAGCCTTTTACAGAAAGTGGAAAAACAATGGAGCAATCAACCATATAGGTTCGTTTAATCAGGGTGGTTTCGTCCTTTCTATTTATTGTGAAAACTTTGATTTTCGTCTTATCAGAGTTAGTTTGTTTTTGCTTATTTTGATTTTTGACGAGATATTTGTTATCTTTCCTAGGGTAAGTTGTTGACTTCTTAGTTTGAACTTCAGAACTTGGGATCAACTTTCCCTTTCCTTTGATATCCTTGGCAGAAGCTTTCATTAGTTGAGAATAGTGAGAATTAGGTTTCTCAATGAACTTCTTAAAAGATGATGATTTGTGAGCGCAACATCCCTTTTGTTTTTGTACACCACAAGAATGACAGTGTGAACACTGTTTGGGATTCGCTTGCGAACTTGTTTTCGCTTTTTGATTGGAAGCTTTTTCTTTGTGAATGTAGTTAGAGTTTTGGGATTGCTAAAACTGCTTCCTTTCATTGAGATTCTTCTGATATCTCCGATTCCTCTGACGTTTTTGCTCTGCAAGTTGCTTAGAGGATTTGTGAATATTCACCTTTGGTTTCGCTTTACTTGCTTGAGTTTTGTTCTTTACTGACGGAGATTTGCTTGTCTTTGTTGTGGGTTCGCTTTGAACTTCCTTTGTACCACTTGTACTACCCTTCTAAAAGCTTGATGGCTTGTTGATTGGTTCAGCCACATATCTGCCTTTAACTCTCCAGGAGGTTCTTTCAGACAGACCCTTCGTTTCGTCTGCATTATCAATTGGTGCTGACCAAAAGAATTCATCACAACCATCTTTGTTGTCTTCATTAACGATGGATGTTAGTTCGATGGTTTGATTTTTGTCTAGTCCACCAGTGGCAAACACTTGATTTGGTACAGTTTGGACCTTTGGAAAAACAGTTGCTTTCGCTTTTAGTATTTTTGGTTGCTTTTGAGAAATCCGAGCGAATTCAACTGAATTTTCAGAGATAAGGACTTTTACAGGTTCAGGTTCGTTCTTAACAAATTCGGAACAGTCAACCTCATACTCTATAAATATTTCACTCATGTCACCGTCCTCATCAAATTCAGATGTACTTTCAATATTGATTTTGTTTTCTGAACTCAACTTAGAACTCAATGAGTCAAATTTATGTACGGTTTCGGTCTTTATTTTCAACCTGTCATTTTCATCAAGTAAGTTTTTCAGCATGTCCTTGTGGTCTTTGGACTTAATGAAGGATTCAATTTTATCCAGACCAATTTGATAAGCATCAGAAGTTTCATCTGAAGAGACGATAGATTCACACTTGTAACAATCAGCATCAATCTCGTCTTCCTTTAATTCAAGGAAAGGCAAGATCATTTTGTGAATCTTTTTCCCAATTTCACAATCTAAATGCAACTGAGTAATGTTAGTGTAAAGACGTTTAGCAATTAAACAAAAAATATTCCTTTGTTTCAAAAGCATTAAATTATCACGCTGCAAATAAATATGTTCGTCCCTAAATCTAGACATCTCTGACTCTTTCTTTTCTATCCACATCCTTCGCTCCTCACTCTTGGATGATATCCTGCTGATTTGATCAGTTAGGTTAGAATTCGTCAGACGAGTTTGTTTTAAGCTACCACTAATACTTGAAAAGGTAAATTTTAGATCATTTAATTCTGTTTCATAGTTAGATATGGGTATTTTAAGAGATTCGAGAATGGAATTTACCTTCTTGATCAGTTGATCACATTCATTGATCTGCTCACAGACTGGTTTTGCTGCAAAGCACTTATCTTCTCTGCTCTCTTTCGTTTCCTCATACCCACCATCAGTTGTGTAGCCTCTCATCTGTGACACGCCGTTGGTCACCATCAGACACCTTCCAGCGAACTTCGATCCATCTTCTTTCGCAACAAATGCCCTGCCATGTGTGGGCTTGCGAACTTCCTCATCCTCCGAATCAATAGACCAGATCTCTACTCCTCCAAACTCATTTTTAGCTGTATTTTCCTGCACAATTAAAGCAGGCATTGAGTTATCACTAGAGTTCTTCTTCTTGATCTCTTCCAACTTATGCAAGTAGTAAGCTTCATCATCCTCTCCTTCTTTCTTCTCATTCAGCCTCCTCAGCATGCATTCCTTAGCCAAATGATTTTTGCCATGACAATAGTTACAGTCATAGCCTGAGTCACCAACTAGCTTTTTTTTCTTTCTTCTCTTCGTCCTTTTGAGGAGTGCTTTTGTTCTCCTCTTTCGCTTTCTCGGAGCTGTAACTTCCCTGCCAGTTTCGGTTCTTAGTGGTAGGGAATTTCTTTCTTGCAAACCTCTTGGGGTTTGAAACCATCAAAGCAAATTCTTCACTCGTCAAATCACTATCAGAGAGATCAGTCTCTGGTTCTTCCTCTGCAACACCCTTGCCCTTCGAAATGAGAGCTAAGGAACCCATACCGGACACAACTTTCGTTTCTTTCTTCACTACACTTTCATGTGACTTTAGAATACCAACTAGTTTGGCCAATGAATAATTCTTGAACTGTTCGTGTGCTTTAACAGTTGAGACTACTGCCATCCATTCAGGTCTAAGGCCATTCATGAATGTGACCTTCTGCTCGATCACCTCTCGTCCTATTCCATGCTTAATCATCTTACTGAGAAGATGATTGTATCGGTTGAACGTCTGGCTAAGATTCTCTTCTGGCTTTTGTTTGAAGTCACCAAACTCCGAAATCAGGAGTGTTTGGTTGGAATGTTCGAGATCCTCATCTATGGAATAAAGCTCTTTAAGCCTGTCCCCAATCTCTTTCGCTGTGTCGCAAGAACTTACGAAGCGGAATGTATCGAACTGTAGAGCGAACCTAATAACCCTCATTGCTTTAATATTGCTGGTGAGTTTCTCTCTCTCATCCTGAGGAACCTCCTTCATATCAATGAGTAACTGGTTGTATTCCTTCTGAGTTTTAATGGTTCTTTTGGTTTCATAGTGAATAAAAGGACCCACAGTAATAGCTTCCCAGATCAAATACCCATTATCTTCTAAGCCAAGAACATATTCTTCAAAATGAAGAGCCCGTATTTCATACTCGTGAGGATATAGAATCGAAATCCTTGTAGTTGATCCTATGCTGTTTGAGATGTTGATTGGATTGGTTTGAGAATCGTCGTGCGACATGTCGATTTGATTTTCGTACCTGTTAAGAATCAGACTTGTAAGATCGTATTAGGGTGATATCAAGATCCCTCAACAAAGTAATGACGGCTCCAACATCTTCGGTAATAGCAGAAACCCTAATGATTTCTTCAAAACAGAAGATGTGTATGATTTACACAGCCTCCTGCTCTGATACCAATTGATAAGGCTAAAATCCTTATGGATCGAATAGATTCTAAACAAGTATGATATGAACACGAAGTAAAGTAAGAACATAGAATGAATCAATCAATGTGTTGAATGATTAAAAGTCACGCCTCAGAAGAACTATATAAAGAATTGCTACTATAGAGGCGTGTTAGGGTTTACAAGAATATCTCTATCAAAACGTTAATAATCTACGGTGTGTGCTCAGAAGAACTCTATGAAGAATAGCTACTGTAGAGGCGTGCTAGGGTTTACAAGAATATCTCTATCAAAACGTTAATAATCTACGGTGCATGCCTGCACTATTAATACTTAAACCCTAATAAATGATACGGCTTGGACATGCCCAATACCGAATACAAACTAAATAAGCCCAATAACACAATCTATTATACCCAACAGTAATGGATCTTGAAATTATCAAGCAACAAACGGTTTTTGTGTTTATTTTCATTTCACACAACTCACAAAAGTATTTTCTTCAATATTGGAGTGAAATCATTTGACTCCTCTTGGATTTAGTGACTTTTAAATCTTAATGCTAGTTAACTTTCATTAATTACATGCTTCATGAGAATTCTGACTTTAACTAAGAGTATATGCTACGAGCTCCTCTAGCTATTTTACTAACTAAGAAAAATCTAGATGATTTAAGCTTTTTGATTATTATAACCAAATTAGACTAAGTCATGAGTCTTGCACCATAATATCTAATGATAATTAGCTAAATATCCATGTGATGAAAGCCAAAGTTAACCATATCCTATTTATTGATAGTTAAAAGCCCTTCAAACGTTGTTAGTTTGAAGTAGTTCTTGCTCTTGTGTTGCTTTGCTTCGGTAATGATAATTATTTTAAATAACAATAACATTAACTATAATTACACTTGAACCTTTTTATAAATTTGTCGCTATCGGTACATAAGCTTCTATAAGTAAAGTTTGATAGTTAGTTAGGGACGGACCATCCAATTTAAACAAAATCTTTTAATTAAATTAACCATGGATTAGTGAGGAATTTTAGATATTATATAATTCCGTTGCTAATCTGTGTGTAATCTTGCAAAATTTTGTCAAGATTAACTACAATCTTATATTAGTCGCAATTATGTCACTAACCCGTCACAACTTTCTTTAGAAATCGGTTAGATTTTAGAAGTATTATTTGTTGTGTTATTTAATAAAAACATCTATCGTAGAGTTGTATATGGTATTTTGGGAGGCTTGCAAATAGTGGGTCTGAGAATGTTATTGTTTGATGTTCAATAAAAGAAAACCTCCGAATGTTATTGCTTGCTGTTAAAAGAAAGCAATATAAACACGAGGCATCTTAATAGTTTGAAAACATTTTAATTAACGTTATAAAAAGGGTTTTTTAATTAGTGCGTTTCTTAGAAATCTCGTCACAACATGCACCAGAGAACACATTACTTTCCACGAACAAAAAGGCAAGCTGGAAATCATTGATAAAGAAAAAGGAAGATAAAGGTCATTCTGGAAATTCCAGCGAAATTTCAAAAAGAAAAAAATTTCAAGTTATCAATAAACTCAACTTTTATTATCCTTATACAAAGTAATATACACAATTCCAAACATCACCCTAGCTATTACATGCATACAATTATTAATTAAACGAAGATATAAATAAATATATGCACTCTGCGGAGTGCGATTATGACACTTGGATGAACCTATGCTGCCATGTAGTACGTACAATGTTGTTATGCATAAGGTCTTTCCAAGAACATATCAACATGCCTAAATATACGATAAATATAAGGGATACAAATATGATAGGTATTACACTATGATAGAATTACCCAGGCCTAGTCTTTTCAACTATGCACAACACAAGTGCCACTCAAGAATGCATACCTCTATGGCTAAACCACAAACATATGATATATTCTCCTTTTTGTTTGGATCACTCAAGGACCCAATCTGTAAGGACCTTCACCCATGTAGTGCCCTTCCATGTAGAGAGTAGTAGCAACATTTTGTGGATGAAGCCCATCCATAACCATAAATTGCATGTCCTCTGAAGGTTTCCAATGTCTCTTCCTTTGATTGATAAACCAATTATTTATTTGTTTCTGGTCTAAACCTGTTGATTCTGCCAATGCTACCTTCTCCGACTCCTGTATTATCAATATTAAGAAAATACCAAGAAATAGATTCAGTCATGTACCACAACTACAAATATGTGCATTCATTAATGGCTTTTGTGTGTGTTTATATATTGTTACACCTTTAGTTTGTGGGCCTTGCTTTACATATGCATCTTTATGTCAAATGTGGTTCAAAATGTTTTGGTTAGCAATTGATATTAGTGGCTGAAAGTGATGGCTAGTGGTGGATGCATGATGATAGAGGATGGTTAGGATTAAGACAAGTATATCGGTTATGATTCTTGGCACACTTTTTCTTCTTTATTTTGTTATTGCTATTTGTTTTTCAAGCATTATCCCATATTTCTACTAGTCATGAATCATATTATTAGAAGAATATACTATGTCAATGGTTTCAAGTTCTAACAAAGATAAAATTACATAAGATTCTTACCACAAAACATAAAAATATCAAATAAGCCATATAGGGAGTATCTACTTCTAATTTCTCAACATATATAATAAGATACAACTACACTAAGATGCTTACCACAGAACATAAAAAGATCAAATAAGCCATATTGGGAGTATCTACTTATTATTTCTCAACATATAAAATAAAAGACATTTGAAACTACACAAGGTGAATTTTGTTGGTAAGTGGTGAACACAGAGGAGAGAAGGAAATTTTCATTTTTGTTGGATTTTCAACAAAGGGAAGGAATCCACAATAGAGAAGAGATTAACTTACCGAAGGATATGGCCACTTGTAGTGTAATTCCCACCAGCTTAAAAGCTTTTGTCGGGCTTCTTTCGGTAATTTCCCTTTCTTCTTTTTCTTGGAAAGTTCTTGCTTGAGACTACTTAAGTAGCCACTATACTTTCTCAACAAGTGATTCTTTAATTCACGATCTTCAGCTCGTGGATCAATTTCAGGAAGTTCCGTTTCTCCTCCACTGTTTTCTTGTTCTTCATCTGACGAACCAATCACCTCGCATTTACTATCATCTGTTCAAACACAAACACAAGTGCCAACAAAAGTAAATAAACATGTAAGCACAAAGAGAAGGGTAAGTACCCATCCACATAAGACCTAAAAACATACTCAATTTCACAATTTAAGGCTCATCTGAGCTTTGTAAACGGAACTTTGAATATTAATTATGATTGTCATATTAGACTTCAATATAAATTAGAAGAGGAATGAAAATTTTAAACCGCATATCAAAAACATGAATATTAATTAACAAGTATTTATGGTTTAAGAAGAAACTCAAACAGAATGAAAATTTTAGACGACTTTAAATAAGAAATTGAAGAGGAAACGCTAGTTAATGTGAGTGTATGACATGCAATTAAACTTTTAAATTCTAGTTCAATGGTGAAGGTTTCCAATGTACTTGGAGTTCTCCATGATTTTAGTATCCATAGGTGAAGCTTAAATTGCAATTAAATTTTTGTTTCTTGCCATTTTATTAATTTCAAATGTTTTTCATTGTGGAAGAAGTAGTGGTTGTGCCTGCACTCTTTCTTCAGTCTGGCCATCGCCGACACCGCCTACAACTGCCTTGCTTCTGCCCCAATCATCGTCCACACCCATGCCGATAAATAACATTGTTTCCTAACGACTCCTGCAATACTCTCAACGTACCACCAGTTTCCTCTCAAACATATATACTTTAATTTAGCATTCCACCCTTCCCGGTGCGTCTAAAACTGTTGCATGCCCGAGTTCACACTAAATGGAACAACGGGGGCGGTCATCTACAACATCGGCTTTGTTTTCTGATAAAATCGACCTATGGTCATGTTTACTCCATTCAACCAAAGACCTAAAACCCCTTCTACCTTTCAAGCTCATAATTTTACTCCATTCAACCAAAGAAAATTTTCCCTAATATCCTTCCCAAAAAGAAGATCCCTCGTTATGATCTCTAGCAAATTGATTGCATTACAAGTGTCTAACAACTAGAGAAGAAGTATGTTCTAAGGATTTCAAGGACTAATTTAGCAAGCCCGGGCCTTCCATTTAGACATTTCCTATTAAATTTATTGATCATATGAAGGCACCATATAGATGTAGACATATTATCCTCGAGAGGCAAGCCTAAATACAAGAAAGGGAGCTTGAATTCACGGCCATACAAAAATAAAGGTCAAATTTCTGGAAAAGCAAGCCTAGACATCTTATCCTCTAGACATATTACTGTCTTTATATTGTCCTATAATTAAGCGTAGGTGCATATTTCATCTAATAATTACTTTATTACACAAATATGATCTAACCCTTTTTCTAGATAAGTTTAATTAATATGACGTATTACATGGGTACTTATTGTTTATAAATATGGATCATTGTCGTATACTAATAAGGTAAGTGATCGTATACTAATAAGGTAAGATTATATTTAGGAATATCTATTGTAGGTTGAGTAGCAAATATGCTTAATTAGTTTCATTTATAATACGTAATTAGTTGATTAATAATATATATATATATATATATCTATATATATAATATATATATATATATATTATATATAATAAGTTAGAGCTTTGAGAATAATTAGACACAAAGTTCTATTTAGGGACATCTATTTATATTAAACAAAAAGAGATATTCACCATTTGAATAATGTGAATTTGTATAAACTAATTCACTTGATAATAGTTACTAATATGTTTATGAGTATTCTTAAAAGTTTATGATAATGGTTATAAGTTTAATGAATGCATATTCTTTATGTTATATAAATAAGATATTGAATTTATGTAAATTAAGTTTGAACGTTTTTTATTGTATATATGTATTTTTTATTTCATGTATTGTTTCTACTTTCTTGAGAAA